GACTGGTTTGACTGCTCTGGATGCTGTCCTCGAGCTTATTTTGTTATCATGAGCTCCATATTCCGTTGAGGCTGAAGGTCGTCTATGCGATCTGCTGCCAAGTGAGCCGGAAACAGCAAATGGTAGCTGCGTGCCCCTGACCGAAAGTGCTGTTTTCTCCAGTTCTCCCGTCGTATTCAGAGATTACTCGTATTCACTTGCGGAACGGATGCGCTGCTTCTCCGTTTCTCACGATGGGGAGACGTCAAGTATTTAAAGCAAGAGAGAGAATGCTGTCTGGGGAATTTTTCTGCAGCAGGCTCGATTCATCTGAAGCAGGCATCAAAAGGTGAGAAGCACTCCAACCCCAGAGAAAAAGAGCGCCAATCTGACTGTTTGACAGTTCGCAAATAAAATATCCAAAGGCGGAAAAGGTGTTTGTCTCCGAAGTTCAACTGAAACCCCTAAGGTAAGAAGCGATGATGTAAAAACCCCCCCTATGTTCAAGGAGCAGCCGTCTAACTACCAACCAGAACCCCATAATCAATAATCGATAATACCAAACTCCCTCCAGCAAGATGAAGTTCTCCGCCGTTGTTCTCCTTGCTCTCCCTCTTCAGGTCCTTGCCGGAACCTGCTACTTCTGCGAAAACACTCCCCATGTCGGAGCCGTTAGGCCTACCTACGACTGCGGCAAGAAATGCCACAAGAAGAACTACAACACCGATCTGTCCACTTACCACTGCTGGATGGACGGAAGAAACCCAACCTGCTTCAAAAACTGCTGCAGGAGAGCTGGAAGACAAGTTGGAACCATCGATGGCTTGTAAATGGGGGTGATTTTGTACATAATTTATGCACAAGTCAATATTCAAAACGCCCCTTGGTGTTAACTTGCCGTTGAAATGGCCGCCTTTCATGAAAATTGTTTATGCTGTGTTTATGCAATAGAACTGTAGGGAGTGAACTTGTGCATATTTCACATCATAAACATATTGACTGCTGTCTGATATTCAATCGAAATTCTACACTGCACAAATGGGTATCGGGCACGGAGAGTCCCAAGGCGATCTTCAGGCGTATTTCCGAGAATTGAGTCTGCTGCAAGGGGAGCTAGCTTGTACTTGTATTCATGTCCGTTCCACGAGCCAGTCTCTATGCCCCTGACCCAGAGAGAGCAAAACAACCACTTCGTGCATCCTGCAGCACACTGTGACGTTACCATGGCTCTCATCAGTTCAACCTACTAATCACGAAGAAAAAAGACCTATCGGGCGAGATTCGGCGGGTTCTTGCATGTTGGTGGAGAGCTCCATGGTTCTCCTCTGGCCCAAGCCTCCCATCTCGTCTCTTAACTTGCAGGGAGAGGCATCCCGAGATGCAGACGGAGAGCAAGCTAGCAATACTACCGTCGTAGCTTCGTGCATTTGTCCTCGTTCTTTTGATTCACTTAGTGGCCGGTTGACCCTGAGCAATTCCATGTCCAAGATGCAAATTGAAGCCTGACGGTCTGCCGAGGATATTTGATAATACTAACTCGACGGTAGTCAGATACTCCGTAGAGGGAAGGCATTTTAAGAAGATGGCTGGCAGGGATCTTAATGGCTCGATCTCGCTTCCCTGGGTTACATGGTGCGCATCAGAGCGAGGCACCTGAGCAGGCCCCTCATCCCCAATATCTCGAGTGCATAATGGCTAACAACAAGGATGTCAGGACAGACATACGAGCTTTGAGCCACTGGAGGTATCACAATAATCTCTCTGGCTCCTCACCATGTTTCGAGTTCCGTGGAGGGACCGAAATGAGCGAGACGAAGTATGGCTTGCTACTCACCAACCAGGACGAGCCAGTTATTGTCTCTGCCTAAAGTTAGAAACGTCTGATATCGGAATACGATGCGTTTGGACTAGCAGAAGCGGTCCCTGATCACCGTCTTGACACCACCAAGCTTCGCCTCAACTGGTCAGGGAGCTTGTTCAGGCCGTAAGCACGGAGTTTTCGCGGGCTGGAGATACTTTCCCAAGAATACCAACCTGTCCCTTATTGTGAGTGACGGCATGAAGATCATGGCTTGCAAGTTGGCCAATGTGATTATTCTGGGAGCCTGCCATCCACTCTTCAGGCTAAGGAGTTTTTCTTTTACGAGGGCCGAAGCCTTGGTGCAAGGCAATTAACCAGGACATGGTGACTAGCCTGATTCTACGCCTGCTCACTTAGGCAGACAGGCAGACAGCATACGGGATGCGATGTTTGATATTCTGTGCTGGCGTCGAAGGAGAAAGGATGGCTTGCTCACGATTACCCCTCGAGCTCGGCTGTGCTTAAACTACTACCTTATAGCGAGAAGAATGCCACCGAGGAGCCTCTATTCCCGTACATCTTGCTTTGGTTCCGGTCTGGTCCTGTTTGAATGGCCTTCGTTCTCCGTATATCCATCGTGACTCCAACGTCCAACTCCATCGCTTCTACTATTTGGCGTCTCTTATTCCACTGTTTCCAGCACCCTATTGCACGTGCAGTGATATTGCTTTTCAGGCTGCCTCGATACCTTCTGCGCTGCAACCCGACGATCATCTCGGGTCGACTACGGTTTTGCGGGGTCTAGTTGTAATACCTTGGTGTATTTTTAGATCCCGGTGTGAGCAAGGTGAGTGGTTGTGCAAGGCCTTGTGGCCCTGGGCTGAAAGCTTCCCTTGAAGCTATGGGGCGAGGTTTATATGAACATGAATTGGGGGTCCCACTGTACATTTTCGAATACGGGCGAGTATCTGAAGGCCCCATCCTAGAGATTTTCGGCATTATTGGATGATACTCTCCAATTTGGGTGGTGGCTTGAGAGATGGGATAAACAACACCGAGCCCAGCGTGGAAGTATATAAAGCCTCTGCTCTCCCAGTTACGTTGACTCGATCAGCAACAATCAAAGCAGCGAACTACAAGTACATCAACAAAAGCAGATCAATCTATCAAGATGAAGCTCTCCCTCCTCACCGTCGCCGCTGCCGCCGGCGCTGCTGTCGCTGCTCCTGCCGCCGAGATTGACACCCGTGCCGGAAGCGTCCAGGGCTTTGACATCTCTGGCTACCAGCCAAATGTTGACTTCAGGGCTGCCTACAATGGTGGTGCCCGTTTCGTCATGATCAAGGTTGGCTTTCTCTTTTGAACGATATACCTTTGACAAAGAGACCACATGAACTAACAGTCCATCAGGCCACTGAGGGAACCACCTTCAAGTCCTCCACCTTCAACAGCCAGTACACCGGTGCTACTAACAACAAGTTCATTCGTGGTGGTTATCACTTCGCCCACCCTGACACCTCTGCTACCGCTCAGTGCGATTACTTCCTCGCCAACGGTGGTGGCTGGTCCAACGATGGCATCACCCTCCCCGGCATGATTGATCTCGAGGGAACCTCCGGCAAGCCCAAGTGCTATGGCCTCAGCGCCAGCGCCATGATTGCCTGGATCAAGGCCTTCTCCGACCGCTACAACGCCAAAACTGGCCGTTATCCCATGATCTACACCTCTCCCGACTGGTGGCAGTCCTGCACCGGAAACACCAAGACTTTCGGTACCACCATCCCTCTCGTCCTCGCCCGCTGGGCCTCCAGCCCTGGAACCCCACCAGGTGGCTGGCCATACCACACCTTCTGGCAGAATGCCGACACCTACCGCTTCGGTGGTGACTCTGAGATCTTCAACGGTGGCATGGACCAGCTCCAGCGCTTCGCCAAGGGTGGTTAAATCATTTCCACCAGCCTGTACATATCATCAAACGGAGATAAGATGAGCGTGCAACCTTCGACATCTATCTCCAGTATATATATATTATGAATCTAAGAACTTCAGAATCAGACTCTTTTGATATAGTAGTTAGTGGGAACAACTGGACATGTAGACTTTTGTAAAACCGACTTCAATGTTAAGCGTAAAATTGGAATGTTGAAGTTGAAAGAAGGTGTGCCCGAGTGACCTAAAAATAGAATAACATGACGGAAGAGGTAAATCCGTGCCGAGCTATCACGTGGAGGTTAGTCATCACGTATAAACTATCTTCCGTTCACGCGTTTAATTAATATCACATGATTCCCAGCCACCGCGTAAAGTCGCGACTTTTTCCACTTTTTGCGCGCGTCAGAAAGAGGGAAAAGAGGCGCGCGGGAAAGGCCGCAGGCGCAAACCAACCTCAACGTCTCAACCGCAGACGTCGAGGTTGCGGCCAACATCACCACCAGCAAGCACTCTTTTTGTTTGACTCTCTGTCCCTGTTCAGCAGTTTATGGGTGTTCTTCTTCTAGCACTTCGGTACCTTCTCTTTTTCTCGTTATGTTTTATTAAGATTTTCTGAATTCAGCGTCTTCTTCATTCCAACCTTGGGTCGGCGAGCGTTAGGTCCATAGCTACCGCCTCACTTCTTATTAAACGAAGATGGTCGACCAGGAAGTTCGTCCTCCAACTCCTCCAAGGGCATCCTCCTCGGCAATTGGAGATGCCTCACAGTCAGCAGATGACTCGATCCCAATCGTGGCCCCTACCACCGCATTCTCGCCCTCAGATGCGTCTCCGCTACCTCTCTCCAGCTCCCGGTCAAAACGAGTCAATTTCTCGCCCATGGCTAGCTATATCAAACCTCCGGAGTTCACAGATCACAGTATGAAGCAACCCGTGCGGTTACGGTCTCTGCCGCCTTCCTCGAACCAAAGTGTGCCAGCCAAGTCCATTCTTAAATCACGGACAGTGATACCAGACAATATACCGTCGGATGAGCTTAGGTCTAGTCCATCAACCGACTTGTCGGGAATGCTTAGCTCTATTATCGAGCAGCTTTCGGGGAGCTCTCATGTTCTACGGAGAGATGCTTACTCTCAGCTCGTTGGCAGCCTTTCTGCCTACTGCGACCAACCCGATTCAAACTCGATTATTGACAACATAGATCTTTTCGTTGGCTGGATAAAACGAGATATCAACACCACTCCTTCCTCTCATGACGACTCAGATTACTCGCTGCCGCATCAGGCTCTTAATCTATTGAATATGCTTGTCTTCAAGCCGGAAACCTCCCCTCGGATTCCAGACGACTTCAAAGCTTACATTCTCGACCGTGCCATTTCCTCGATCCAGCATAATTCAACTCCCAAAAATATCGTTATCGACTATATGAGACTTCTCAGCATTCAGAACTTCTCCCCAAAGATCCTTACTAGCTCCAGGGCTACCAAGCTGCTAGAAACTATCAGCAGCGGACCGGACCGTGTCGGAGGAAAGGCAGTAACTGCTCTACGACTAAATATCTACGATCGATTGTTCTCCCAAGCCCGTTCCATCTTCATATCTCATGCGAACTTCTGGATGGATAATCTCATTGCTGGTCTTCTGCACAAGGTCAAGGACGTCAGGTTAAAGGCTCTCCAGTTAGGCTTCCGGATAACTGACTCCTTGGGCCCGTCCACCCCTGTGTTCAAGGCAATCGACGAGGTCCTGAATCTTCCCACAGATAAAGGAAAAGACACAAAGTTTGTGAATGACTTTTGCGATCGTTTGACTAGTATGATCGCAAACCGGGAAACAAGTCTCCATGTACCACAAATCTGGAGCGTTGTCACCCTTCTTCTTCGTAGCCCTCGATGGCAGGTAGAAAAGTGGTCCCATTTCAAAGCTTGGATGCTGGTCATCCAGAAATGCTTCAACTGCAGTGATCTTACTACCAACTCACAGGCGCTTCTTGCATGGAACAGATTAGTCTATGTAGTGCAGTCTTCTGAGAACAACAGGGGCATGGCGAAATTCCTGTTCAAGCCTATTGACTCCCAACTGGAGAGAAGAAAGACTTCCAAACGGGGAGCTCACACCGACCACGCCTTTTCGAGCTACTGCAACCTTCTTTACTACTCCTTCAAACCCGGGACGCCATTTGAGCGCTTGGACTTGCATTGGACGGAGTACATGGTAGCGCCAACTTCAAAGGTCTTAAAGTGGAGCTCCGGAAATGCCTTGGGACTTTGCAGCATATTAGCCATGTTACTATGGGATTCCCCAAAAATCTGGGACGAGAAAAAGGCTCTTGAAGCAATTAAAGTTGGTCCGGAAGACCTCCCTCGACTGGACTGCAAGTGGGTCCGTTCTAGGATATCAAAGATATTGCCTGTGTTTGAGACCCTCTTTGACCTCCTCAGTGAACAAAGTACCTCGATAGAAGATTCTACGGTTGGCTTAGCCTGGGTTCATCTCTCTCGAAGTCTTGCAGATGCATCTAGTAAGGAAATCCAGCCCTCGACTGAGACAATGGAGGCTGTTGGTTCCATCCTTGAGAGCCTTCAGCGAATCTGGAAAAAAACCGGAATACCTGCTGTTTCTAGAGCCAAAGATGGGAACAGTATTTTCTTCAACCAATTCCTCTTCTTCGTCCAAACAGCCGTACATAGCCTTGGGTCAGTTGCTTTTACCGAAAAGATGCTTCTGAAGACTTCGACGGAAACATTCAGTATAGCTCAAACCCCTACCCATCGCCGCCCCCACCCAAACGGCGTCATCAGAACTCCCATCTCACACCTTCTTCAATATGTATGTCTATCTACATACCCAGTCTCTATTCCACGCTATAAATCATTACTACACGGTATCATTGAAACTGGAATACAAAGCCGGACCTCTAGAAGCTCCCGCTTGGAAGCCCTACGCCAGTTTACAGAGTCATTGCTTGGGCCCACGAGTGAGGCCTTCGAACTAAACTATGACTCCGTTGAAGAGGTCTGGAAGTGCATTTCGGCTTGCACCAAAGAAACCCTCGCAAATTCAACCCCTGATACCAATGTAATGGGCAAAGACGAAACGTCAGCCCGTGACTATGACAAAGTTCTAGCCATCCTCGAGCGTGGAACCAGATATAATATCAAGAGTTTGGAGTGGTCCTCCCTGTTTCGGTCACTGGCGGCCGTAGTCCGCAATGAAAAGGGTGATGCTCAGGTGTCCCATTTCATTGACTCGTTTGTTAGCCATTTAATTAGGAACGGTATATCGATAGGTTTCGGTGAAATGGGCTTATTCATGGAGGCAATCTTTTTTCCTCGAGAGCCAGCTACACAAGCACAGTCAATCAATTTACCCACCATGATCAAAACAAGCCCAAAAACTCAACCATTCTGTGAGAACATTGTCTCCCTGACCAACGATATCCTCTTGCACCTATACCACTCCCATGATTGGGAGTGCACCCCTGATATGCTCACTTTTCTTGATGCTGTCTCACAATGGCTTGAGCGATGCCCAGAATATTACCGTATCACCTTGCTTGAGAGACTGCAAACTGGCATTCTCCCGTGGTTATCAGATCCCAGCGAAAAACTGACCGCAGAGTCCGGTATTGACAAGTCTATATTGAATTCAGTAAGCCCATCATTACTCCCTATATTATAACTAAAACCACGCTAACTATAAAACAGGCTCGGACTATGACCTCGGTCACTATTTGCAACATCACATCTCTCCGCAATACCAATAGCGAGACCCTAGAGCAACTGGCCTCATTGATGACGGCTGGCTTCGAGTCTCGCCACAAATCTATTGTGAACAAATTCATCTCCATGTGGAATGCATCCTTCGCCCTAGAAAGGAGTTTATCCTACCCAGTATCGCTAGAGTCGATCCTGCGAAGACTTAAGCCATACGTTGAGATACAGCTACCAGGTTTCCCAGAACGTACTGAAACAAAGGTATGCACAGTATGAAACCCATTGTTCACGTTCCATCTTTGACTAACAGTAGAATCTAGTCTATCTCTCCACCACCGGAATATCTCAGTTCGCAGGATGATGTGGTCACTCCAAAACCGGGTCAAAAACCAAAGAAAGATGGCCGCAAACGCTCAAGCTCTACCCCGGATAGCAACACGCAAAGCCGTAAGAGGAAATCTGAGCAGAAACATGACACCACTACCCCCAAACGACCTCGACATGACGATTCACAAATTCAATTCGTGACTGTTGAGCCAGAGGGTGAGATAGGCGGGCCATTAGAATCCCAGTTTATGACCGAAAACCAGAAAGCTGTCAGAGAAAGGCAGCGAAAAGATGCAGCTATAATGTTTCCAGAGATGCACTCATCACGACCGTCATCTAGGTGCAAAACTCTTGATCCACTTGACAGCAATCTACCCACTCCTACCATTCCACCAGAAGCACCAAATGTTGTTGAAGATGTCCAGTCTTCTCCAACGCCAGCCAGCAGGAGTCCACGCACACCATATACCAATATAGATTTAACTTCATTCCCGTCGAATGTTGAATGGAGCTTTTCTACGAATGGTGACCCACCTTCATCTCCACCACAGACAGTGCCTTCATCGCAAGGAGAGCCCGCCGCACCCGAACTGAGTTGTACGAAGCCCCAGGAGGCTCAAAGCGCCCTTAGGAAAGAGCCCTCCCAACTTACAAACAGTAATGAGGATGAAGATGCGGACTCCACACCCAGGCCGAACTCGAGATCAAAATACACAGTACAAGCCGATCCCGGCAAGGAAGATGAATTGGTCCCTGATTTATTCAATGACCCACTACAGGAGCAAATTGCCTCGCAGCTGGAGCAAGATCTTGAATTGTCAATGGACCTAAGCGTTCCTGAAGATAAGCCATCGAAGACTAAGAAGAAACTAGGAAGCCGAAGGAGGAAAAGAAATGACAACAGCTCCAACTCAGAGCCAGTGCGGATGCCTATTATTGAAGTAGCTATTGAAGCAAAGTTACCTGAGCCGGTTCAGGCTGTTTCTGACACCACGTCGTTGACTACGAAGAAACCATCCGGAAGTCAAAGGCGGTCCGGAAGGAAGAGATCCAGCCCCAGTATGGAGGAAGAAACCAGTCAAGAGACTCAAGAATGTGCTGAAAGTTCTCAGCCAGCACCGAAGAGGAGAAGGTCACTCCGCCTTCGCGGACGGACAACAGATGATAAAGAGATCGAGGCCAGGAGCGATGACATCGTGGAGCCCGAGCGGGAAAGAGGCGAAGCTGCAGCATCTCTGCCTGGACAGACGACAGAAGCTAAAGGTAATGTGGATGCTGAAGGTGCCCAGGTAGAGGCCGAACGGTCCGATACTCCTCCGCCTCCTGAATCCCAAGCACGAGAACAGGTATCTCCAGGGTCATCAATACTCCAATCACTCAAGGCCATCCTTGGCTCACTGAGGAATGTCTCCTTTGGAAGGTCAACCCTCCGCGAGCTGGATGACGTGATGTTTGACATAAAGATGGAGGCCCACAATGCGTTCAAAAGAAGCGAGTGAACAAGTCTATCTCTCGCTTCTCACCTCTTTGGGACCGCCACGCCAGACTGAGACGCCAACTCCTGTATGAAGCACACCAATTAATGTTCATGTATGTTTAGAGTTAATTGAATACCCCATTAGGATAAACACCTTTATCTTGATCCTGTTCTACTTGCCATAGAGTACGGAGTACGGAGTAACGAATAAATAATAATGCTTGCCGGCTGTATGGAGCCAGGGCAGCACCCCCAAGCGACGGTAAAATACGAGATCAGCTCCAACACTAAAATTAAGTCTAAACTAGTTGAGGCTCTAAACAAACACAAATTCGCCTGCGGTGTGCCTGGTCGTCACGCTGATTTGCCAGATTGAGCGGAGGCTTGATGCTTGTGCAGCTGAGTGGGCTGAGCGGCAGAGAGATGGGCTGTGGTGGATTTGGGATACGATGAGCTGCGATCGGGGGAAAAGCAATGAGAGAAAAGGGGGCTTCGATCAACCCGCCGAAGCTGAGAGATATCGAGATAGTCACGCAGAATACGGAAGAATGGGTACCCATTCGGGAAGACACGAGCAGTATACTGGCGATCTTGAACGGCGAGGCGCCTTGATAGCTTGTTGGACTGACGTGTAAGGCGCCGCTAATAATAATCGGGTTCAGGTAGTGCTCAGGAGCGAGCTCAAACCCTTGCCGTGCAGGCTATATATAGGCCACCACGTCTTCCGTCTCAAGCATTCATTTCAGCCAGCACTTCCCCAGTCACTACTCCAAGCTCTCCAGTCACCGACTCCCTTCAAACGCTTCTATACCAAACACACACACTCCCAACACCTCAACCGCCAACATGAAGTTCTCTGCCGTTACCGGAGCTGTCTTCCTCCTGGCCTCCATGGTCGCTGCCATGCCCAACGAGCCCGAGAACAGCGTCCAGGACGCCGCAGCCAAGGTTGCTGAGCCTGTCAAGCATTTGGCCGAGGGACATCCCGTCCTTGAGAAGCGCAAGAAGGGTGGTAGCCACGGCGGTGGTTCGCGCAACCACACCGAGTAAGCTTATTCTTCTTTTCATTCACCCGCTTTCTTCTCTTCACTTGCACTTCTTCTTTGTCTTCCGGTCTCAATGGCTAACGAGCTGTCGATAGAAACGCCGCTGCCTCCATCGTCGTCAGCAACGCAGTCATTGCCGCCGCTCTCGGTGCCACCATCTTCGTCTAGAGATGGACAACACCTGGAAGAGTGAATACGAATAGTCTCTGTCTCTCAGATGCCACATAAATAATATCGTTTCTTCCTTTTGCCTGTGTTTCTCTATGCTGTAGTGGTGATCTATTCGTCTGCTTCCAGCGATACCCATCTCATGTCAGGTTCTCTCGAGTGATGAGCCTATCATACCGTTAGTTAATAGTAATAAGCATGTTCTCCTACCTCTATCTTCCTCTCCCTCATCTCGTCTCATCTAATCTCCTGTGTGTCTCAGGCTCTGCCTGGCCTCTCATGTCTTTCTTAGATGTTGTAAATATTTACGTCCAGGCGATGAAGTCATCTCTGGCTGCCCCACCAATAACTAGTTAGTTAATCGCAGCCGCATCATCATCAACATCCACACCAACTACATCAACGACGACGACGACGAAGAACTACGAGAAAAAGAATCTCGAGACGTCTTTGCCTGTTTATACGTACACTCGTTCCCGTTTCCTACTTCTTTATAATATAGCGAGCATGGAGCGTTCAAAAAAGCCGACGGCCATCCCCGTATCCTCCTCTGCGCCAGGACCCAGCGTCTTCGTCCTCGAGAACCGCGTTGAAGCATCGCTGGCAACGGGAGAATCTATTACTGTCAACCTGTTTGGAGCTACAGTAACATCGTGGAAACTCGCCGACGGGTCAGAGCAGCTTTTCCTCAGCGAAGGAGCTCATCTAGACGGCTCCAAGCCCATCCGCGGTGGCATCCCCCTAGTCTTCCCAGTACGCCATTACTCTCTATGTATTCCGTATTTCGAACAGAAGGACATGTACCAGGCATAGAATTGTCCATGACTAACAGTAGAGCAAGGTGTTTGGCCCCCCTCCAAAGGAACATGCGACTTCCGCGCTGCCGCAGCATGGCTTTGCCCGGAATGCCTACTGGGAATTTCTAGGCAAATCTACCTCGGAAACCGAAGGAGATGCCAGTGTCAAGCTTGACTTTGGCCTGTCAAAGGGTATGCTGAGTGACAAGTTCCAGAAGGAATGGCCGTTCGAGTTTGGCCTGGTGTACAGCGTCACCCTAAGCCCTCGGAGCTTGATCACTTCGCTGCAGGTCCAGAACAAGGGAACGACCGCCTTTGAGTTCCAATCTCTGCTGCATACTTACTTCAGAGTAGATGTATATCCTTTCTGCTCTTTGGACGTTTATACTCGCCTCATTTGGATGCTGATTGGCTGACATTTTGGCTATCTGTAGGACATCTCAAAGACATGCATTGCAGGCCTTCAGTCCAAGTCGTATGTCGACAAAGTCCGCGGTGCATCCACGTTCACTGAAGAGTCCGATGCCATTGCCATCTCCTCCGAGGTAGACCGCGTCTACCAGTCTCTCGATCCCGCCACGCCTGTCGTAGTCACCTCTTCGGACAAGCCGGTCTTCTCCATCACCCGAGAAGCGTTGACGGACATGGTCGTCTGGAACCCGTGGGTCGAGAAGGCTAAGGGAATGGCCGACTTCACTCCGGACGAAGCCTACAAGAACATGGTCTGCGTCGAGGCGGGATCCGTATCTGGATGGCAGACTCTAGAGCCGGGTGACATGTGGGAAGGAGGGCAGACGATTCGGTGTCGGCTGTGAAAAGAGCAAGAGACCAGTGATATAATGATTATGATCTACTTTTTGAATATAACAACGAGTGTATAGAGATATCTTCTTGTCTCTTTGACTATGAGTATACTTGAAGGATTAAAAGTCAACTTCTGCCGTACTGAGTTGGATCTCCCGGCAAACATGCCGAACACATCTAGGATGACGAAATAAAAAAAGATAGAAAAAACTCAAAGGCCGCACTCTGGAATCCTCAGAAGAACTGCTTCTACCCGTTTCATCGAAGAGAGGCCATGGGAGATATCAGCTCTGCCTTCCATGCTGCTCAACGCTCGCTGGCCACGGAGGGACAAGAGGCAAAAGCGAAGAAGCAAGCAACGCCATGCCGGCCACTTCTACAGCCACCACCGCGCTGGCCCTGGGACGGCCATCATCAGGACGGCCACACGACCATGAAGACGGACGACGAAGCAGTATACCATCGCTAGACGCACAAGGAGGAGATGAAGAAGAAGCGCGGAAGGACAAGAGCAATGACAACAGGCCGGCGTCATGGAGCTCGCTACCCAAGCGGAACCAGCTCATCATCCTCACGATAGCCAGGCTGTCCGAGCCGCTGGCGCAGACCTCGCTGCAGGCGTATATGTTCTATCAGCTCAAGTCGTTTGATCCCTCGTTGCCGGACTCGACCATATCTGCACAGACAGGCATCTTGCAAGCAGCCTTCACGGGTGCTCAGTTCGTCACGGCTGTGATCTGGGGCAGACTGGCAGACGCCGAGTCCATCGGCAGGAAGAGAGTGCTACTTATTGGCCTGCTGGGAGCTGGAATCTCGACACTGGGTTTTGGATTCTCCAAGTCCTTCGCGATGGCGGCGTTTTTCCGGACCCTGGGCGGTGCGTTGAACAGTAACGCAGGCGTGATGAGGACCATGATATCGGAAATCGTGGTTGAGAAGAAGTCAGTACCGCACTAGCTATGCCGTGGTGCATCTATAATCAACTTATGATATGTAATTGGATATCGACTAACTGGAGGCAGATACCAGTCGAGGGCCTTTCTGCTGCTGCCGATGTGCTTCAATGTCGGTGTCATTATAGGCCCCATCATGGGCGGACTCCTGGCTGATCCCATAAGCAACTATCAGTCCATCTTTGGACCCGGGTCATGGCTTGGAGGAGCGGACGGAGTGTCGTGGATGGTCAAATGGCCATTTGCTCTGCCAAATCTGGTGACGGCTGGTTTTATCCTCTGCTCCGCAATTGCTATATCCCTCGGTCTTGAAGAGGTACCTATACTCTCTCCCCTTTTTTCACGCATATATGCTACAGAAATATAGAATACTGATCTATGCAGACACATGAAGTAGCCCGGTCACGGAAGGATTTGGGTCTACGTATCGGAAAAGCCATATCAAGGTACCTGGGCTTCTCGGGGTATAGTGACTACCAGGCCCTCGATGGCCTGGCAGACCCGGATACGCCAGACTTCTTCGACATGGGACCAAACGGACGGCCCGTCTCAGCTCAGAGGCTCCTGAACAATGAAAATGCTCTCCCCAGACGGCGCAAACGCCTGCCCTTCCGCCAGATATGGACCCGCAACGTCCTACTCACGCTGGCCACTCATATCTTCCTCAACTTCCACACCAGTGCATTCACGGCACTTTGCTTCGTCTTCCTGCCTACGCCACGCGCCCCAGGAAGCCAAAGCAGCTTTTTCCAGTTTGGCGGTGGACTCGGTATGTCCAGCTCCAAAGTCGGTCTGGCCACGGCCATCATAGGCCTTATTGGCCTGCCAATTCAGATATTCATCTACCCGCGAATCCAGTGGCGACTAGGCACTTTGCGATCCTTCAGGATCTTTCTCCCCTTTTCTCCCCTTGCGTACCTCCTAGCACCCTTCCTGGTACTACTTCCCGACCATCCATATATAGTCTGGCCTGCCCTCTCAGCCGTAATATTCCTTCAAGTGGTGTCCAGAACTTTCTCTCTACCGGCTACAGTGATACTAGTGAATAACTCCGTGCCAGACAGGAGCGTGCTAGGTACGCTGCATGGAGTTGCACAGAGCGCCTCCAGTGCCTCAAGGACGTTAGGCCCCCTGATTGCTGGCTGGGGTCTGGGTTTAGGGCTGAAACATAACATCGTCGGAGCTATCTGGTGGGCTCTTGCCATCGAGGCGTTCTTGGGATGGCTAGTTACATGGACCATATTCGAGGGAGCCGGCATTGAGAAGCCCTCATAGAATACATATCTACAAGGAATATATAAATAAAACAGATATAAAAAGGAATGAATGAACGAGTTATGAATTTGGATTAGACTCCCATGTGTGCAGTATTCATCCGCCATGGTCTATCTATCCATGGTAGTCACTTCGCATGTCGTATCTTGTCATCAGCATACCCGCTTGAGAGGCCGTGATGCCTCCATGCTGGTCGTAATGCCGTTAAACAGCCAGAGGGTAAGATAATATAAAGTATGGGCTCTTCTCACTCGGCATGCTGTTCATTCAATCCCATCGACGCCGTTGTTTGTGTCTCTGCCCCCGTTTACCGAGATACGAAACAGACGTCATAGATAGATCTCTATTCACGCAGCGGCGGCGGTAGGCGGAGTTATAAAGGAACGTATGGCCTTGACAGCATTCCCATCATGTTCCCTCAGTAGCTCAGTTGCCTTTGGCTTCGTAAGGTCCAATTGATCAACCTGTGAGGCGTTGCTGTTAGCATCAATCCATTCTCCCATGCATGAGTTATCAAATAGAGATCCCACAAACCAGCAAATTGACATCCTCAGCAGCAACTTTGACAGCCTTCTTCTTCACGACCTCACCACCGGCGGCAGCAGCAGCTACTGCCGCCGCCGTCGACGTCGTCTTCGCCTTCTTGTCCCCGCCGGCCGCTGCTGCTGCACCTTTCTTCGCGCCGCCAGCAATCATCTCCAGCCTGCTCATCGCCCTCCCGAGCGCCTCCTGGTCTGCAGTCGACGGCTTCTTCGCGCCATCCTCCTCGGCCTCGCCTCCTTCAGCTGCAGTCTTCGGCGCATTCAGGGACGACAGGGCGGCCGCCGCGGCGCGGTCCTCGGCGTTGGTGGGCAGCTCTGAGGCGCCGGCTTCAGCAGACAGGCCGTTGTCCTCCTGGGGGGTCTCGCTGCCTTTCTTTGCTGACATTGTCGCTAGCTGCCTCCTCTTGAACCGCACGAGTAATAAAAGTAATATAGTAAGAATCGAACCACGGGTCAAGCCAGCCTCGTATTCTGGGGTCTAATAAAGGCCTAATTGATGCGTCTTTGTTGATAGCGATCCCGTCGTCCGCCCAGCGTGCGAGCTGCGATCTTCTTAATAAGCGTCAAAAATTACGAGTTTTCAACGTCTAAACTTCTAGCCTGGGCCTGCACGACGAGCTAAGAGCAAGCCATCTTTTCTATTTATAAAAATAACTTATAAGAACAGGCTATTATTATATCTCGATCCGAGTGCTGCTGTTATTCTCATCGCTGGACCAGACCGGGAGAAAGCAGAGGACAAGCGCATAAGTTGGCCCCCCGCAAACGTCCTCGTCCTCGTCCGGTCGAAGCTGAAATCGCAAAACTTCGCTCAACCGGCGTCCAATCAGCCTTGCATGCAGTCCAATTTTTGACTCATCTGCTAGATAAAGGGACAAGGGCTGGCGAAGCGTCCCGTTTGATCATAAATATCGGCGTCGTCGCTGTCGTTTTGTCCTAGATTTCAAAGGTCTCTCAATTTGAGCTTAGACAGGCCAATCCATAGCGATATTGCGCAGGGATAACTCTCGTTCACCATGGCCGACTGGACTCCAGCCTGTGAGTTGACTGCCCAGTACATCATTCTATAGGCAGATCTCGCTAACTGATCCTCTCCACAGCGTGGAGGTCGAAACCAATCAAGCAGGAGATTGCATATGAAGACCAAGAGGGCCTGCAGAACGCCATTCAGAGACTCAAGAAGCTCCCGCCTCTTGTGACTCCTCATGAGGTACTGTTCAAAAAGAAGTGATTTCTAGAGGATGTTTCTCCTCGTCCTTCTCCCGCTTACCTTGACCATAGATCACGAACTTGAAGCAATGCCTCAAGAAGGTGGCGCTTGGTGAAGCCTTTGTCCTCCAAGGAGGTGAGTCGTGCGGTCCCATGCCTACTTGCTTTGCTGAGACACCACTGATGCATAGATCACAGGTGACTGCGCGGAGCTTTTTGATTACTGCAACCAGGATATGATCGAGGCAAAGATCAAGCTGCTTCTGCAGATGAGTTTGATCCTGATCTGGGGTGAGTTCCCAGTGCCCTTTCCAGCTGCGACTGTCGGGGTGGTCTAACCAATGTCAATCAATGAAAATAGGAGCCAACAAACCAGTCATTCGAGTTGCTCGTATCGCTGGTCAATTCGCAAAGTGAGTAACTCAACGGATGCGTTCATGCACGCAATCTCCCTCCACGACCCACAGTTTCAGGCATGCTTACTCTCACAGGCCTCGATCAAGTGCAGTCGAGACCGTGAACGGTGTCACTATGCCCTCGTTCAGGGGTGACAACGTAAATGGATTCGAAGCTACTCCCGAGTCCAGGAAGCCTGATCCATCCCGTCTTGTGGATGCGTACTTCCACTCTGCTGCGACTCTCAATTATATTCGTGCCGCCCTGGCTTCAGGTATTGCTGACCTGCACTCACCCCTAGACTGGGGTCTAGGCCACGTCAAGACCCCTGCCATCAAGGAGAAGTACGAAAAGATAACTTCCAGAGTCACCGACTCCCTTCGCTTCATGCGAACCGTCGGCCTGGACACTGCTCGTGGTATCGAGACTGCTGATATCTATACCAGCCACGAAGGCCTCATACTGGAGTATGAGGAGACCCTCACCCGCGCTTCAAGGAACCCAGTCGAGCCAGCTGGAAGCCGTAGCATCCCCCAGACTGCACAGGAAGAGAATGAGTTCTACTATGATCTCTCCGGCCATTTCCTCTGGATAGGCGACCGTACCCGCCAGCTTGATGGCGGTCACGTTGAGTTCTTCCGTGGCATTTCTAACCCAATTGGCATCAAGGTTGGTCCTAGCATGCAGCCAGATGAGCTCGTAGCTCTTCTTGACATCGTCAACCCAGACAAGGAACTTGGAAAAGTCACCCTCATCTCTCGTTATGGCGGCAGCAAGATCGCAGACCACCTCCCCAGTCATATCAAGGCCGTCCAGGCTTCAGGACACATCCCCATCTGGCAATGTGACCCTATGCACGGTAACACCAGATCTACCCCGTCCGGTGTCAAGACAAGAAACTTCAGCGATATCCTGTCCGAACTGCGTCAGGCTCTAGAGATTCACCGTGCTCACAATTCGTATCTCGGAGGTATGCATCTTGAGTTGACGGGTGAGGCCGTCACGGAGTGTGTCGGTGGTGCTGCTGGCCTGACTGAAGATGGCTTGAGTGAGCGATACACCACCTTCTGCGACCCCAGATTGAACGAGAAGCAAGCCCTTGAGCTTGCATTTTTGGTCGCTGGTTTTTACCGTGACCACGCTGCTGCAAGTGGCACTGAAAGCCCCCTTTGACGGACATTTCTGTTTCTTTCCTTCGTATCGGTTGACGCTCGACGAGAAAATGGTTTTGGTTGGTTAGGCCTTTTTAATAAAAGTCTCTAGGGGAGCCAGTTAGAGAAAGTATTGTAACGAAAGGGAGAATAAAAACAAATTAATAAATAATCATAAAAACGCATATATAGAAGTCCTCATTTCCCCTACTCCAAACCCAAAACAGCCTTGCTTATACCAAATCCAGAAAATATAATCCCAAGAAATAGATAACATTAACAGAACCAAGGAGAGAACCACTATTACATGTACCCCCTTCCAAGGGGGCTTCCAATTCTTGGCTTCCAGGTTAGACTCTTCCGCCTGGCTGCTTCAAGTCTGATCCTCAGCTTCTCACTTTGGTGCTCTTCAGTGATTCCATTGGCAGGGAAAAGACCTTGCCTTGACTGCTTAGGCGGACATGTCTGTTGGACCAACTTCGCTCCCTCTGACAGATAGTATGGAGTGGTTGGGGATGGGGGAGCTGTATCGTCGAAATTGAAAGAATAGCCGTAGTCTCCATCCGGTGTTTGAGGCTCTCCGGCTTCGAATGTAGTTGGCCGCGATTGGTGCCGTCTCGGGGTTGTTATGGTCTCTGAGTCCTCCTCACAGCTGTCATCTTCAAAGGCAGTGGGACCAATCGAGTCTCGTCGGGATGGGTGAAGTTTTGGTATAGGTGAAAGACGTCTCAATTCCTGCAACGTCTCTCCGTCCGCAACAGACCGTCGGCTACTGCCCGGGGAAGTGCAAGAGTCCGAGACGGAGAGCGTTCCATGCTGGTTGCTCAAAACCTTAGGCTCCATGCTCTTTCGTCTCTTGTTCCCACCTCTGGGAATCATGCTGATGTCAACGGCGTAGTTAGCTTCGTCAACCCATCTGTTCTCCCTTTCACAGCTATAGACGAGATTAGCGATATGTCCCCACAATTGGTACATGCTCTTGAAGATAAACGTACTCAAGTACCCAGCCAACTCCAACACACTTCACAAGCCCATTCGCTTCCTTTACTTTCTGCAGCGTTCTAACACCACCGTCCTTGTGAATAACATGAGTAATCCCAACCTTTGGATTTTCCTGGGGTTCGGCACCATCAACCAGTGACAAGTTTGTTCTCGGGTTCCATTTCCACGACTTGACACATCTCGCACCCATCTGGGTGAGGAGCTCAATGAAGATACCACTGGCGTCAGCACCTTCAGCTGTGTGGACATCAACAAAGACCACCGCGCCTTTTAGTACTTCACTCTCACTGTTCTCATCCTTTGCTGGGCTTCGACTTTTCACTGGACTAATACGACCGGACCACGTTCCCGATTTTGGCCGCTCGGGCAGCAGAACGCTATTTGTTGTCGAATCATCTCCGGGGGATGTTGGTGCGAACGTCTCGAGTAGTGTCCGGTCCTTACTAGGGGAGGGTAATGTCTGGCTCCTGGTCAAGGCTGAGGGTGGACTTGTTGTATTAGAGCCAAGAGATCTGGTTCTTTTCCGAGAAACCTTCAGAGATCCATCGCCATCACCCTTCAGTGGCACTTTCGAAACTGTGTGTATAACTCTTAGGTAGCCAGGATCTCGGCGAACAGGAGTAACAGACATAGAAATTGGCGGCGGCGCAGCGGGTACATGTGGAACCAGCCCAGCACGACTACCTTCGTTGAGGAGTGTCGGATTGATTGCCACAGTTGGAGGTGCATTCTCGTCTCCATATACTTCAGAGGCCTCGGATATGTTATCACTTGGACTTCTATGCGAGCCAAGTGACATATGTGAGTCAACATCCTCAGCAATAGAATCAGCAACGCTCTCCTCGTCTGGAGAGATAGACCGGTCGGTATGGATACTCAGATCCTCTATTGCAGGCACTTCATCTTCACCAACGGGCTTCATAGGTTCTCTTGATGCTTGAGTCTCATGAATCCGAGAGTGGCTCTGCCTTTCTGAAGTTTTGCGAGAGTCTCCATGTACGTCTGGGGAGAAGAGACCCTTTCGCCGGTATTTCCTGGGCCGCTGTTTCTCGGGGCTAGATGCTGCCCATTGGCTTACCTTGTCCGCCAGGGGAGTGAACCCAAGTTCAGTTGTAAGTGTATCTTGAGGTCTGAGAACGACTTCTGGGCTCTCAGAACGGAGATTTCCACGCCTTGGTTGTCCTTTAGTTGGGCTGGGTTCAAATTCTGCATCCGAGTCTTCGTAAATCATCTCATCCCGATAAATGAAGTCTTGTTGATTGATGGGAGCCGCGGTTGAAAATTGGTCCATGACATTGGGCAGAGAACCCATAATATCATGCCTTAGGATTGTTTCTCGTCTATTGGGCGTGTGGCTTTCTTCCATAAAAATATCATCATTCGAGGATTGATGTCTTGAAGCATATGGCTGCGACTTAGTAGCCTCTTCTGATTCATGAGGAAGGTTCTCGTCTGCATCATCCATGGATGATATGTTTAAATCAGCCATCTCATCCATGAACTCCTCTTGGCAATCTTCACCATGTAAATTGGGGCCGATGTCATCGTGAGACTTGGATTCGCGAACTTCAATTGAACGATCGGCCAAAGTGAGAGGTGGTGGCGGCATTTTCATAGGGTAATGGGGTCTGCGTGCAGGAGATTTTAGGGGTGACGTTCTTGTCTTTGTGGGTGAGAGTGGTGCATCCAGCGATGTCTGGATAAAACACATGCCAGCTCCCTTCTTTGGTGATACTTTCAGCGATGAAACTTTGTGTTGTCCCACCATTTCCTGCCCAGGTTGAGGCTCACTACGGAAGATGGGGGCCTTCCGTGGAGACTCTTTGATAGCTGGTTGGAATGGGGATGGAGGAGGGCGTTTCGCTGGGCTTGACATAGACTCGGACTGCTCGTTGCCTCGGGGTGTACCAGGCTCTTTTTCACTAGCTGTGGAATCTCGAGAAGCCGGCCTAGTAGCCTGTGTAAAATCAATTCTTTTTGCAGGAGAAGTAAAAGAGGGAGGAACAGGAAACGACTTCAATGGTGATCTTTGCGGCGACTTTGAAGGGGACTTGGGTCCGAAGACATCATCTTCATCTTCTTCCGAGCTACCAGACGATCCAGTCTTGGTTATCTGCGTAGCCTTCTTTGGAGATAATGGTTCCTTCTTTCTTGCCTTCTTATCTTCACCAGCGTCTGACGACTTTTGTTTCGCAGCAGCTCCTTTGCGAACCGGTTTTGCAGTCATGCCAGTATCTGCTTTCCCCTTACTCTTAGTAGCATCCAGTAAGGGCTGGTTTTCCTTATCAGAATGCTCGGTGATATCTAGAAACGTAACCTTCTTTTTAATAACACATGATCTTCCTTTGCTCAAGAGTATAGAGCGGTCTGCTGTGGCAGAAGAAAGTGCAGATGACCGGGTAGACGCTTTTGTCGCTCTCGTGGTAGCTGGAGCCTTTGCTCTTCGTGCAGCGGTAGTGGTAATCTGAACAGTCTTTTGCGGCACAGGTTGTGTTTCAGCAAGCTCGTCATCATCATCGTAATTTACATCTTGCAGTTCCGTTGTATCAACAGCAGGTTCAGCTTTCTTTTTGGTCGTCCGAGTAGCCCTTTTCTTTGGCTCGCTAGCCACAGATGAATTAGAGGATGTTGGTGTGGCCATACGCCTTGTTGACGACCTCGTTGCAGCGGTGGCTCTGGTAGGTACGATGTTCATTTCGTCATCACTGGAATTATCTTCGTCCAAATGGGACGCCGAAGTTTTAGCCCTAGTTGCTCTCTGGCTCCGTTTCTTTGGGTCTTCAGGGACAGCATTCATCTTAGCCTTGGGCTCAACGACTGTCTCCGGATTTTTTCTAGGTCTTCCTCTCTTTACTGTAGTAGTCGTCGTGTTGGTTGTAGTTGGTACTTTGGATTCTTCCTTTGGCTTGGTCGTCGTACTTCGCGTTCGAGTTCGGGTGGCTCTCCTAGGAGGTGACGTAGGCGCCGACGGCTCTGTTTCTAATGCTCGCCGTGCCATTGTGTCTCAATCCACGGGGTAAGATGGGTAAACAGTGTATCTAAAGGTCGGGAAGCAGCTGTGTTATCGTAGTGACGGAGGTAGCTGAGCTGTTGACACCACGACAGCTGACGGCAGGTATCTCAAATCGCCACGGGGTAATCAAGGAATGACTTCCGGCTCCCACAAACGTTCGTAAAATTAAGAACTCAACATATGCGGCCTGCTGTGACCTTGCATCATCGTCTTGTCGTCTTGTTGAGGTCCAGCTTCGTCTTCGCCCGGGGTCTTGTGTTATGATCGGCGCCGTCTGTTGCTACGGAAACGATACATCACGTGATACAGTCGGACCCCCTGGACCTGATCGGATGGACCGAGGTACTTTTGGCCTTATCAAGCTATAATTAAAAAATGGGCATTAAACGTTATGTTATTATTGATCAGCAATTGAAGGGCCGTCTCCATCGGCTTGTTGCATATGATAGACGGCCTTCCAAGGTCTACGCAGGTACCCTTGTTTAGACTTGAAACTGGTAGCCGCGTCATTAACCAGCCAATGGGGAGCCAGACATATCCCGTGAAAGACTGTGCTGCCTTGTACACGTTTTCCGACCGAAGTATGCTATATACCATCCGACAAAAGGGTAGGCAAGATGGCGGTATCTTTTTATAGCTTATTGATTGTTTTAGCGTGTCTATGACAATAAGCATGGCGTATAGCTGCAGGCTAAGTCAGTTTTCCTTGCAATTACAGCCAGCAGCACCACCGCTGCGTTGGGTAGAAATCTTGTACAACGATTGTACAACAGTTGTACAATGATGGTATCAAGGGATCGACGAGGGTGACTCCATCACTAGGTTCATTAAGTAAAGTACCCACATGAGCAAGATAACGTCTCGGCGAGAGCCGGCAAGCGTCACCACGAGACGGCCTACCGGAAGCTAGATGAGCAGTGGAGCGATGCCGAGAGATCGATCGGAGATGACAATTTTCTCGGAGACATAAGATATTCAAAGCGAGCGTGCAGTACACGCAATTCATGAGTGGGAGAAGGTAGTAAAATGTGTGGGGGAAGCTGGTAGCTAGACACCCAAAAAGTCATATTATTCATAAGTAGTTAGATAAAATGGTAATATATCTACATCCCAGAAAGTCGATTATATATATCCAAGATTAAATAAAACCAAAAGGAAAACACCGGGACTTTACACCAGTAATATAGCAAGCAGTGTGACCATTGCCGCTACAAAGCTCAGCTTACCTGAAGCATGAAGCCCCTTAGCAGCACTCTGTATGTCCACTTCCGTCAAGAACAATTTCGGATCGTAGACGTCTGGCTTTGTGCTATTGAGCGTTCCATCCCAGCAGTACAGCTTAAAACACTGCTTGCAAGCATCAGGGACTGGGGTCTTGGTTCGCTCAAGGGACCTGCTGAGCATGGCACAGCCGACGCAGGTAGGCCAGTTGCCGTCTCGAGTAGCGTTGCCCATGGTTGCGACGTTATATCCATTGAGAATGATAGCATCACGCTGTGTGGTATTGTACTTCAGGTTGAAAGTTGAGACATTCGAATGTGTGACGTAGGGACTGTTTGGGATGTATACGATCAATGGCGTAGGATTAGTGGTATTTGAACTGTCGCATCCGAAGAAAGTAGGATTGTGGTTCAGACCGAGATTGATGAAAGTGTTATTATCTGGTATAGCTGGGAAGGATGTTCCGTTGGCGATTCCGGTGCTGTTCAGGCTGCGTTGGTAAGTAGCTATTATGCTGTCGCCATTGGGCCAGGACAGTTGGGTATCAGCAGAAGAGTCAATGGCAAATATAACGTCGACATGTCGAGTTGGCTGGATCAGGGGATGGAAGGGGATGTTCTGCTTGTCTTCACCGCCATCAACGACAGGGAGGGACTTTACTCCTGCAAAAGGAGACGTGTGTTTGGCATATCCAAAAAATGGATTGGGCTTGTATTCGGCAATGTCATTATTGGCTTCATCAAGCGAGGTCAAGAAGTCACGGAGAGTGTCCTTGACAAATTTGGGCAGGTTCTGGCTATCAAGGTGCAACGCAAACTGGTTGAATAGAGAGGAAGAAGTTCCCATGATGAAACCGGCGTTGTCCATTCCCCGAACGCACTTCTCGTCCGATGGAAGGGTTCCAGCCTCGAACTTGGAGCCAATGTACTGTGTTGGAACAAAACCGAAGATGGTGGGATCCCATGTACCAAATTCGTATGGATTGAATTCGAAGATGGTAGCATTACCACCGATAAGTTTTTCGCCCGGATTCCTGCCATCAGCAACAAGAAGAGGGAAGGGCACATCGCCACTTTGAAACTTGGAATTCTGCGAGATGGACGACCATGTATAGGCCGGTCCACCCTCGGGAGCGTTAACGAGTTGATACGACAATGCTCTGCCCCTATATACAGCGTTAGCACGATCAACGAAGAACCTAGAGTTTATGACAGAATGGCATACCAGATATCAGTGATAGAGGTCTCGAAGCCAGCGGTTTTCTTGCGAGAAATCTCCTTGATCATCTCCTTATAATAGGCAGCGGTGTCAACTACCCCAGAGCTACCATCATCTGGTCCCTCAAGAATGGAGCGGCTAAATTTCCACAGCGAATTACTGCCTCCCTTTTGCAGTTCCGTGATAGTACTGTCATTGTTGACATACATTGAGCCAACTAGCCATCCACCGCCACTGAGACCGGACAGGTAAGTAGCTGACTGCAGCAAGCCACCCAGCTGTCCAGGCCCGGTCGAATTCTCCGTCCGACTATCAAATGCCTTGAGGGCACCAGCTCCATTCATCAAAGCACGATATCCGCCTCCTGAGACTGCAATGGCAACGTTTGGCAGCTTAGAGACATTGTCCGCGTTGCTCACGAGATATGACACGGCGTCAAAGCCTTCGATCTTCACGCGACTGAAGAAGTCTGCCATAGCGCCCGTGGTCTTCATCCTCCTTTTCTTCAGCCAGTCCTGTTCCTGCTGAGACAGCTTCGCGGCTGATCGAACGGACGGCTTGGTAGATGGACAATCGACTTCAGCTGGTGCATAGCCATCTGGCGCATTTGGCAGAGCTCTGATGGCAACATCTGCGGCAGTATTAGGTATACCGGCTCCAACGGTCGCTGTAGTTGAAATTAGAAGGCAAGTTCCAGAAAAATAAAATTGGCCATCAGTAAGCATGCTCAAACTCACCAGGAAGCAAGCTTGCTAGGACTAATGTTCCCAGCGTTGCTGGGATGAACATCATCGTAGCAAGGTTAGGCCTGCCGCACCAACGTAATGGATACTAACGTTGAAATTATATATATATATATAAAGAAAATAAAAAAATAGTATATAAGCCGTAGTCAACTAGTTAGCTTTGAGAAGAGATAGAGTCGAGCAATGCCATACAAGCGAGCGCGGGGGAGAATGTTAATATACATATGTATGTAGACGAGAAAGGGTGAAAATTGATGCGTGGGCGCTTCCAAACTGTGACGGTGCCAGCTGAGAAATAAAAAAAAAAAACTGTTGCTATGGGTCGGCGGTGCAGCTAGCTGCTTAGGACGAACTTACTTTCCGACCAGGCGACTCATTAGAGGTTCCTTTGAACGGCTAAAATTAACCTTGACTTTCAGCTGGTGGGTGATGATGATGATGATATCAGCGCAAAACTATATATCGAAGCTGTGCACATCCTACGGATGCTTAATCGTGTTAAAGACTGCACCATGTCCCGTGATCGCCGTCAGCCTCATGTTGCCGCCTAATTCTAGGTCAGTCTTTCCTGCTCAAGCGTACACAGCACTGCAGACGGCCAACAGTATCTCACATGAATTTTGAAGTGTGCAGTGGGGGACACAAAAGCTGTGCAAGGTCCCCGATAAAAGATTAGGCGGATGATCCATCCAGCTGGGATACGAAGCCCAGAGAACGCTTCTCGGGAAAAGGGCGTTGTTCATCCTTCAGCCCGGAAGACTCGTCTTCTTTATTCAGGCATATTCTCGAATTCGGCTCCAGTGGCTGAGAAAGTGACCAACCAGGATGCAGCGTAGCGTGGAGACTGGCCGAGGTTTTTGAGTTGTTGTTGCCCAGCCCTGTCGCACTAGGGAGATGAACAGGTGGCAGATGGATACCCAGTATCCTCAGGCTCTCCCCTTCCCGAACATCCCAGACATTAAAGCGCAGAAGATCGCCTGTTTCGGCATTTGGGTCGTTGCTATCAATCATGACAAGAGAGTCCACCAGCCAGCCAGAGTCGGCCGGCCAGAGTCAGGAGTAGTTAACTAGAAATCAGTCAGTCCGGTCAACTTGATCATGCATCTTGGAAATGAGAGACTTGGGCGCTCTCGCTGTCTGCGGCACTTCCTTGCCCAGCTGACGTGGCCCTCGCTTCCACCACCCACGTCCAGCGAGATCATGAAGCCACCAAGAACCCTCTCGCCCTGTCTTCCTCTTCGTTGTTGTATGTATAGTTCTACGGAGTACATAGTGTTGCTGCTGTTAATTCTTCTTCCTCGCTGACTAAGTAGCTTATCAATATATGACAAAGATTGAAGGTCACGTGAATGCATCATGTAATCCTTGTCTTAGTCATGTCTTAATAAACACCTTAGTCGAGAAAACATGCATGCACGAGCCACTTCTAGCCCTAGAAGGCAAGAACAACAAAAGGACGAACGCGCCTTCCCCACACTTTCCTTTTTCCCGCACCCCCCTCCTCTTGGCCCGTGTGCCATCCCACCAAGAACTATGCAAATAAGCACCCAGCATCCCGTTGTATGAGGACTGCATAGAGTGGCTAGTAAAGGCGTGTTATACACGCAGAGTTGACTAGTCCTGGCTAGCGGTCAGGCTGATGCAAGATGCGGACAGACAGGTACTTGGATACACACTCTTGTTGGAACCCCGGGTTGGCCATCACAACCTCATGATGACAATGGCCGTGGCCCATCCATGATCTGACAGTTCCGCTTTCAAGTAGAGGTACCAAGCGTCAGAGTATCCAGCCTGAGAGCACGAGTGACGACAGTGACGACAGTGGTCGGATATTTTCAGCCCAGCACCACAAGAGGCTGAGAAGAAGCGCCATCATCCCCAAGGCTAGCGATGATCAGAGTGTCGGGTGTGGAGATAGCGACGATAAAGATGATGTCAAGTCTGGAGGCAGTGACATCGATCGAAGGGACCGCAGAATTCCAGAAAAACGGTTCTTGGTACTTACAGCAGCAGGGACAGCTTGTGATCCAGAGTTGTTACCTTCACTAGAGACAAGTTCTGACGTCAGGGACGAAGTTCTTGATCCAGAGGATCAAGGACAGTCGACATCAACCCGAAGTGAACAACAAGTAGACGAAGACTCGATGGCCCACAGGAGTGATCAGCCAATCGAGGAAGGCGACGAATTAGAGACTTCACTAGAAGATTCCAAGGAGTCAAGCTGGCCAGAAGACGAAGACAACAGCGGCTCGTTACCACCAGAACCTGAAGAGGCCAGTGATTCCAACTTTGACCTAGACTCAGAGTCTGAGGCCGCTAGTACCGATACATCCGAATCGAAACTGTTGACGCAGACATCGAGGAGAAAATTTTTTAGGAGAAGCCCTGTACCCCGGATAAAACGTCGCGGTAGCAGTGCGGAAGATCACTACCATAAACGGTGGCATTCAGGGAAGCCATCAAGGGTATGACATGTCAGCAAGTAATAGTGATACTTGAGTAACAATATGGTACTTTGCTAACACTATAAGGTAGGAAGCACAGCAGAACATTGTGGAGAAGTTGCGGTATGTATTTTTCTCCTTTGCAGACAAGACTAGTGATGGTGGTTAACTGTTGGAAATAGCTCTTTTTTCTGGGAGGGTGGGAGCGGAAATGGTGGTCGCCTCCCGAGATGTTTTTCGTGCCGTATGTCCGGTGTTGTAAGTAGTCAGCTAACTGAAACAGCCAAATGTGTTAAGTAGTACGTCTCGTGAGGTCTCACTAACGCTGTATTCTAGACTCCACCCAGTACCCTGATTGGAGATAGGCTGGAGGAACGACTGCCCTGCGGCTGCTTGTACAAAGTGCGACCGTGCCATTAACCCTGTACTTTTTGGGGATTTTGACTGACCCCGATGATCAGGAAGCCATGTTGGAAATGTATCTCGCAAAAAGAGGAGTCCTGACAGTGAGTGGCTAAATAACTAGTGAACGGCATTTCAGCCGTCCAGGTGACCAGACTGCTACTGACGTGTTGATCTCCTTTTTTGTTGAGATGTCTAACAATATTTCCCAGAAACAACAGAAGCAGCGGCAAGATAGGCTTGACCAGCACCATCGTCGCGACCTCATCAATATGTTTGAGCTGTTCTTTGGCCCATTCACTGTGGAGAAGGCATGTAACCGACCCCAACTGATCGAAATCATCAGAAACAGCAAAAGGAAAACACAATTATTGAAGGACAAATGACCAGGTTAGCTAACGGCTTTTCTCTCTTCGTATCGACGACACAGATGCTGAACCTAGGCGGTGCTCGGCTCAAAGCTGCCGAAGAAGCAGCTCTACAAGACGACATGCTGGCCGACCGTCTGAGTAGTACGCGTCTCTAGCCACCAAGTCGGCCGTTTCTTGCGCTTCGAAAGCCCATTCCTGTGCCTCATAACTACATCATTGCATTATGTGTATCTACCCGCCTGCCTGGTTACAAGTCCTGGAAAGCAAGTCGATCACCCCCAGCGAGTCTGCGTTGCCGAAACGTGCTTTCAAGGTAAGCATGCATGTTTTACACCATTCATGCTTATTAGTGATTCTCCCATCCAGACGCTGTCGATGCCAGTGGAGCCGCCAGAATCTGCGAGGTCTTCTGATGCTCTTCTTTTTGCTTCTTTTTCTCAACAATACATACATAGCACTCACCAGTGCACACTGCTATTTATACTCAATTTTGCCTCCTGCGATCCAGGCCGTCGGGGCCAAGCGCCCAGCGTCTCCACCAACCGGCACCCCGGATTGCCCTTTTTGGCCATCCGCGCCAGCTTTATCCCCACGGCGTCTCCACCGACCTTAAATCCGAGCTTAATATGAGGAAACTCGATTTTGCAAAGTTGCTGGAACATTGATGTAAGATAGTGTACTGTAGAGTTATAGAGTGTGGACTAGTACTGTTGGTGTTTCCTGCTGCTGCGCTGGCCAGGCCGTCAGCAGACCTGCTCCTGTTTCAACACTCGGTCCGTTAGCCTCTGGAGAATGGCTGCTTTGGAGCCTTGCTCATTATCTAGCTAAACTAGCAGGCTAGCAGACAAGTACTAAAGCAACTGACTAGTAGTTACCCCATACTTCCGTGCTCCGGCCATTCCAGGCTCTGTCTGTTGGTTGGCCTGCCCAGGCACTGCCTTATCCGGCCGGCGGCCCCGTCTTCGGAGAACACGATACCGCTCTGGGGATTCCGGCCTCGTTGCCCTGTTTGCTTTGCTCAGGAATCAACAAGAATGAACAGGGCCATGTCATGTCTCGTACACATCAGCTACCGTCAATGGTGTCTTTCCCTTCCTCCTTGATCGGCTGGATGGCAAAGGGGGGAGGCCTGGCCCTACACCCTCCTGCCGGCAGCACCTCGTTTAACCCGACTGCGAGTACATAAATAAGGTCACACGGATCCCGTCTTGTCTTTGCTGGACTCCCTTTCGCACATTGACAGACAAGAACTCATTCATCCATCCCCCCTCACTGGCTCGTATTGCGTTGTGTTGTACTCAGACAACTATAAAAAGCCTTCCTCTTCTTCCGTTGGTTAATTCTGACATTTTCCCCCCCGTTAAACCCCCAGACAATCTTTCGGAATGCAACTCACCAATATGGCTGATTCCAAACAAATACTGGCCGTGTCGGCCCCTGGTGCAAAACCGCCAGTTCTCTTGGGCACAAAGGAGCGCCTCCCTGAGTTCCAGCTCGCTAATAAGGTTGTGCTTGTGTCCGGTGCTGCCAGAGGCCTTGGGTTGACCCAGGCTGAGGCCCTGCTAGAGGCCGGAGCTATTGGTATGGATACTCTCCTCCCAATCTTCAAACAGCTCCCTCATACTGACATTTCGATAGTCTATGCGCTGGACCGTCTTGAAGAACCTGTAAGTCATGAATCCACTACTATTCCACCCCGTGAACTTCCAACTAAACTCGCCAAAATCAGTCCGAAGACTTCCACCGAGTGCAAATCCGCGCCACAAAGGAACTCAACACTGAGTTTCATTACCGACGCATCGACGTCCGTGATACTGAGGACCTTGAGAGAATCGTGCAGGAGATAGCTGACAAGCATGGCCGCATCGATGGTCTGGTTGCTGCTGCGGGTATCCAGCAAGAAACTCCCGCACTCGAGTACACGGCCAAGGATGCAAACACCATGTTCGAAGTCAATATCACCGGTGTCTTCATGACGGCCAAAGCAGTTGCTAAGCAGATGATTCGCTTTGGAACCAAGGGCAGTATTGTCATGATTGCCAGCATGAGTGGCACAATCGCCAACAGAGTATGCTCCCCACCTCCACCTCCACCTCCGAATGATTACCTAGTCAGACCATATCTGCTAACTAGCTACAGGGTCTAATCTGTCCAGCCTACAACGCTAGCAAGGCCGGTGTCATCCAGCTCGCCCGCAACCTTGCTTCTGAATGGGGCCAGTACGGCATCCGTGTCAACACCATCTCCCCGGGCTACATCGTGACAGCCATGGTTGAAAATCTATTCGTCGAGTTCCCAGAGCGCAAGACCCAGTGGCCAAAAGAGAACATGCTCGGCCGTCTCAGCGAGCCCTCCGAATACCGAGGTGCAGCGGTCTTCCTTATCAGCGACGCCAGCAGCTTCATGACCGGAAGCGACCTTAGAATCGACGGTGGCCACGCAGCATGGTAACACTGTCTTCCAAGCTGGTTTTCCCAACGACTCTACTCTCTTTATTTTCCTATTTCTCGCCTCATTTAGCGACGTTTGCGATATTTCTTTGTCTCCATTATTCGTTTTGTTCAGTTCGCATGCTTCGACTGGATTCCCGCATTGGTCTCTCTCTTTTTTTCTGCTTCATTTTATCAATAATAATGGTTGCCATCTCCGCACTTAATAGATGATAATTGGTCGGGGATGGTCGGGGCAGCTGGAGTGCATAGGTGTACTGTAGCTGACATGGCTGGATGTTCTGGGCCGGCGGCGATATTTGAATCTGGTCTGGCGTTGCATGGGGAGTGTCAGTTCTAAAGGGCCAGAATGTTGCTAGTGATTATACGGAGTACTCCGTAACAAGCCAATAAACAAGATTAATATCCTATTTCCTGCATCCTACTGCATACAAAGTATGCTGTCTTAAGTAATTATGGATGGAGGACTCCATACTCCATAGACACAACGAAGTTTCTTCTATCGTTTAGCTGAAGCAAAGAAAAGAAAGGCGACGAGCTGAGGCTAGACCTCTGCTGACTAAGCAGATCCCCCCTCACCTTCAAAAAGCAAATAATAGACAACACGACGCAGGCAACATCACCAACCTTCAGCTAAGAGAAAACGCTGGGCTCGCATATCAATCAGAGTTTCGCATTCGACTACAATCTTCCTCCTATTCGCCTGTCGAATACTCAGACTGGACTACTCGGCTTCTCCCACTGAAACAAGTCGGCAACAGCTCCCCGGCGCCATGGCTGAACAAGTGAGTACCTCATTAGTCAACTCCCTAGTTAGATGCATCGGTCATAAGGTACTGATACTATTCGATGGCTCTACCAGACCAAGAGCCATATTGCTGACCCTCCCACTGGTCTGTACTTCTTCTACGGCACCTTGATGGACCCGACGCTCTTGGTCCAGCTCCTCCACCTAGATAAGCTCCCTGACCTACGCCCCGCGTCGATCAAGGGATACAAGTTCAAGCTCTGGGGGCCTTACCCGGCACTCCTGGACGATGAGCACGATGATTCTGCCGTGATCGAAGGAGCCGTGTATAACGTTGAGACGGTAGAGCATGCACACGCCCTCGCGAACTATGAGACCAAGAATTATACTACGGGCACCACGACGGCGTATTACTCTGACGGACAGCAGCCAGAGACCGGCCAGGTTACGATCTACGTTTTTGCGGGCAATCGGAGCGACTTGACGGAGGGAGACTTCAACCTGGAGAGGTGGATGAAAATGATGGGCAGGGGGAAGGTGTTGGATGATTTGGCTGCTAAGAAGGCTGGGTCTGCTAAGAAGCCCGAGTCCTCTTGAATAATAGAATGGTGCTGGTCTTACAATGGCGGGTAAAAGGGGGTTCTTCGGTCTGAACGCTTATGATATAGACGGGCGGGGGGTTATGCAATCAACTCTGGGTGAGCTATGGGAGTCAACTATTACTCAATGCGTGCGTTTCTTATTCTCATTGTCTCGGTAGATGGAACTGATTCGAGTATCGACAGTGTCTTTCGCCACCTGATAATGAACCGTTGACAAGCTCCCGTCATTATAGCCCAGTTAGACAGGGAACAGAAAGGCTTGTCTCTACCTGAAAGACCACTCACACTACAGAGTATATCCGGACTACCTAACGAGTTATAATATTATTGGCAGAACAAGAGAGTAGGTATCCTTATTTGTTGTCCCCTGCTCAAAGCAACCTCTAGTTAATTGGCCACCGACGTCTTTGGCAGTGGTGGGCATTATCATTATCTGTTTCCTCTTCAAAGAGCAGTGATAAGTGGCGGGCTTTAGCCGGAGGCTCCCTGAGCCGCCTCGTCTCTTCTCTTCCGCTTCCGTCACACGGCCGGAGCCGTCTGGCGTGACGGATGAGCTCATGGCAGCAACCGCAGTGGATGTCTCCATCCATGTAAACAAACAAATCCGCCCAAGCAGCGGAAAACACGACGGCAAGGTTCGCCGGGCGCCATGGGTCGCTGCATCCCGAGCGAGCTAGTTACTGTACCGCGAGCCAGCGTTCGGCCTTGCAGCGGCTCCTTGCGCCGCCAACGCGAGCCATACAAAATAAACAGCGACTCCTCGAGTCCTGCCCTCTCGTCTCCTGACGCCGTACGAAGCAACCACACAATTTATATATAACGAAAACAGCCAGCGAGAAGAGAGAAAAGCAAAGAAAGTTGACACGTCGATCCGGCGGGCTTACCTAAGCGCGCTCCACCGCCTTTGGGCGAAATATTTACATTGTGCGTAGTTGGCCGCCGACGTCGACTTCACCTCTTCTTCTTCTTTACCTCTTCACCTCTTCACCTCTGCGCCTCGCAACCCCCATAGGGCTCCCTTCAGGTGGAAACGGAAGACATAAAGCCTGCAGGAGAAAGCTCACAAAGCCACCTGCCGCAGACAAAGGTGTACCCAGAGACTGGTGAAACTTGCCCTTTTTCTTGCTTCGACCTGCTGTTTGTTTTAGCAGGACAACAACAAAAAGGGAGTTTCAACCGCGTGTCAACACTGGCATATTTATATCAGACAGTCTGTTTCTGATTCTCGCTGATATCTACATCTTTTTCTTCTCTGTATTGCTGCATCTCTACTTCTTCTATCTCTACTCCTGGTTGCCAGTTTTATCTCCCTTCCCAAGGAGCTCTATACGCGGCTGTTGGCCTACTCTATTTGAGTGAAGAAAAAATTACGGAGTACGTGCAGTGACCTGATATCAGGCCTGATTGGCCGCTCTTCGGTCCTTTTCCTTAATTTTTTTTCTTCGAATAAAAAAATTGAACTCGGGGTTATTGTTTGACCTAGCATCTGAGACATTGCTCACCATGTCTGAACGTGGTGGTTACCGAGGCCGCGGCCGTGGCGGCGGAGATCGTGGTGACCGTGGAGGAGGAGGTCGGGGCCGCGGTGGCGGTGGTCGCGGCGGTCGTGGCGGTCGCGGCGGCGGAGACTTCGATGGCGGACGTGGCCGTGGAAGCTTCAATGGTAGCAGAGGACGCGGTGGAGGAGGTCGTGGACGCGGTGGTTCTCCAAGCATCTATGGGTAATTGGACTTTTCATATTGTTTTGGCACTCTTTTTTTTTTCTTTTTCTTTATTTGGGTCATTGTGATTGATCATTTCCATGATCAATCTCCGGTATGAGACTTGCTTGTCGTTTGAACTAATGCGTTGATGTGGTATATAGCGAAGGCCATCCTGTTCCTCCACCAGATGCCGAGGTCCAAAAGATCGAGGATACCTACATCAAACAACGCAAAGGATTGAGCCTTGACACTCTCAAGCTCTCCCAGGCTTTCCCCCTGAGACCGGCCTATGGTACGCGTGGTAACCCCGTGGTTCTTTGGGCAAACTACTTCCCGCTGGTCCCTAAGACAGGCATCACTCTGTACCGCTACACGGTCAATGTCGGGGTCGAGGGTAAGCAGCCACCTGGCTACCGGAAACTTAAGCGGATCTTTGAAATTTTGCTGGAAGACCATTTGTCTTCCTTCGGAGGTCACATAGCCACCGACTTCAAGGCCACCTTGATCTCGACCGCCTCCTTGGATTTGACGTCTGAGTCGTTCGAGGTTGCATATCGGGACGAATTTGACGCCGTTGCTGAGCCGAATGCTCCCAGATACCCGCTCCGTATTGTTGAAATCGCCCCGTTGATCTTGGATGAGCTTCTCAAGTTCCTCAGGTCCCCAGGAGCCGACGCGTTCGGCCACAGCAAGGAAGAATACCTCCAGGCCCTCAACATCATTACCGGCCACTTCCCCAAGATCTCTCATGATACCTTTAATGTTGGCCCTAACAAACACTTCAAGACGAAAACGAAGGACATTTTTGATCTTGGAGGAGGTCTCAATGCCTACCGGGGCTATTTTGTCAGCACTCGAGCCGCGACGTCTCGTCTCCTAGTCAATGTGCAAGTCAAGCACACGACTTGCTTTTACGACGGACCCTTGGTCAATCTGATGACGAGCACACACAACTTGTTCGGTCTGAAGCAAATGAACAACTTGCTCAAGGGTGTGAAAATCTCTGTCACCCATCTTCCACCAAAGACTAATAAAAAGGGCGAGAGCGTCAATCGCACAAAGACTATTCTCGGGCTTGCTACCGCCAAGGATGGTGCAAGCTGTGATTTCCCACCAAAAGTTGAACACTCGGGCGCTGGACCAGCTGATGTCCAGTTTTACATTTCAGGAAGTGAGCACTTCGAAACCGGCTACCATTCTGTTTATGACTACTTTAAAGTCCGTACGTATTACTCTTTCTTCCCTCTATCTCTTTACCTCATCGGCTGATACACCGCTAACTATCTAAGCTAGGCTACAAAATCGAGCTGGACAGGCGTTCTCCTGTGGTTAATATCGGCACGATGGCCAACCCCAGCTACCTTCCTGCTGAGGTCTGCATAATTGAGCCGGGCCAGTCAATTAGGTCCAAGCTTAGCCCTGCTCAGACCCAAAAGATGATTTCCTTCGCCGTTAGACGTCCAAAGGAAAATGCTGAGGCCATCGTCAACCACGGAGCCCAAATTATCGGTGCAACCCTCCAGCCTCAAGCCACGGTGAGTTCCTTTTATTTTGCCGTGCCTTGATGAGCGTCGATGCTTGCTTGGAAGTGATTCCCGCAATTATGCTAATATTTACTCCCAGGACACCATGGGCATCTCCTTTACCCCCAAGCTGATCACAGTTCCGGGACGCGTCTTGAGCAACCCTTCTGTTCGTTATAAGGGTCAGGGAGTGGCTTCTATCCGCTCTGGTAGCTGGAACCTCAATAATTTAACATTTAGAGTTCCTGGCGCTCCCTTGAAGGATTGGGCGTATGTCATGATTGGAGATGGGCACATTCCTTCTGATCCGGATCGCGCCGTCGCGGACTTTATCAACACCGCCAGGGCACAAGGTCTAACCTTGTCACCCCCACTCAAGGCTAGTGCAAGCTCTGATGGCCTTCCATGGGTGATGAATTATAGAGATCCCGGCAATGTCGAGAAGAACGTGGATGAGATGTTTAGACGAATCAAGTCAAATGCCAATCTCAAGAACGCGAGACTACTGCTAGTTGTCCTTCCAAATGATAACCCAACAGTATACAAACGGATCAAGCTCAATGGTGAGGTCTTCCATGGCATTCAAACCGTCTGTGTCATCATGTCGAAGTTTATCAAGTCGAACAACGTGCAGTACCATGCCAACGTTGCCATGAAGTTCAATTTGAAACTCGGAGGTACGAACCATGTTCTTGATGATTCCAAAATGGGAATCATCGCAGGCGGCAAGACGATGGTTGTTGGCATTGATGTCACTCACCCTGCCCCAGGATCATCTGAGACCGCTCCTAGTGTGGCCGGCATGGTTGCCAGTATTGACAAAACCCTCGGCCAATGGCCAGCAATTCTAAGATTGCAGCGTGAGGCTAAGCAAGAGATGGTCGATGATCTCACCGACATGCTCAAGTCCCGCCTTCGCCTTTGGCATAAGAAGAATGGCGTGTACCCTGAGAACATCCTTGTCTACCGTGATGGTGTCTCGGAGGGTCAGTACGGCAAGGTCCTGCACGAGGAGCATCCTCGCCTACTCAGGGCCTGCAAGGAACTTTACACTGGCGGAGTAACCGCGAAGCTGCCTCGAATGACTATCATCGTCGTTGGGAAACGGCACAACACTCGTTTCTATCCAACCAAGGCCGAGGATTCCGAGAAGGACAATGCTCGCTGTGGCACTGTTGTTGACCGTGGTGTCACCGAAACTCGTAACTGGGACTTCTTCCTACAGGCCCATACCGCCCTTCAAGGAACTGCTCGTCCTGCACATTACTATGTTGTCCTCGACGAGATTTTCTCCCGCCGCCAGAACCCGGCATACCCAACCGTCGCCGACGAGCTTGAAGACCTCACTCACAACATGTGTTACCTCTTCGCTCGTGCCACCAAGGCTGTCAGCATCTGCCCACCGGCGTACTATGCGGATCTTGTTTGCGAGAGAGCAAGAGCTTATCTCAACTACTTCTACGACGAGAACCTTAGCCAGAAGTCTGGATCGGCCTCTGTTGCTTCTGCCAAACATCTGCAGCCTCACCCCAACGTTATTGATACCATGTTCTACATGTAATGTGGTATTTATAACCACCAACACCACGATGATGGACTCCCTGGGCATTTCTACACTCCATCCTCCTTTACCACTCTTCGGGTTATTTCCTTTTTTTCCCCTTCTCTCCTGCGTTGTGTCTTTTTTCTTTCTATCTTTTGAGCTCAGCCTACTTATGTTTTGCTCTATCAAGCTACGCCAAATTGTGACCCAGGAAGTGGCTGACACATTGAAAGCGTATTTTGGCGAACCAGTTGG